ATATCATTTGAGAGTTTGGTAAAAATCATGTTTGTATATGTTAGTAAAGAGTAATAGTTGGAAATCTTAACCAACTATAATGAACCTTCTTCTGTTTTCTGTTAAACATCTGAGTTTAATTATAGAGCTCCCAACAAGGGTCTAAGTGCCCTTCCCTGACCCCCCCTTCTCTTATTTGGAATAAATTTCAAACCACAAAAAGCTGCACAAATAAAAAACCCTCCAAAAAAGACAAACCCACTGCCATCAAGCCGATACTGGCTCATAGTGGCCCTAAAGGGCAGAGTAGAACCATCCCACGGGGCTTCTAATACTGTAATCATTACGGAAGCAGACTGCCACAGCCTTCTTCTGCAGTGTTGGCAATGGAATGCTTTAATCACTGTGCCACCAGGGCTCTGGCACCAATAAAAGTGGTACTAAACTCCTGGTGTGGCGCTGTAGGATCAGCACTGGACTGTGAACCACAAGGTCAGCAGTTCAAACACCCCAGCTGCGCCTTGGAAACCTTGTACAGGGTCCCTAGGAGTCAGAACCGACTTGATGGCACTTCACAACAATAACAACAAAAAAACAGACCCACCTATCCGAATTTTGTTTGCTAAATAATCTGAGTCTTTGTACGCTCCTTTTCTTTCTCTCGCCATCCCCCACACTTTTGCTTTTACTGTGCCTTTTGAAGTTAAGTTAAATTCACATCATAGCCTTTACTCCTAATACTTCAGTGTATATTTCTTAATAGCTGCTCTCTTACATGATTACAAGCTGTCAGCGTCATAGATTTACATTGATGCCAATACTTGCGTGTAATCTACCCTCCATGTTCCAGCTTTCTCAGTTGGCCTAATAATGTCCTTTATGGCATCCTGTACCCCAGCACAGCATCAAATCTAGGACCAGACATTTCATTTATTTGTCATGTTAGCCTCTTTTAATTTGGACTTTTCTGCAACCTTTCTTTCTCTTTGATTTTTACGGAATGCAGTCTCTGGTCCCTTTAAAAGAGAAAAGGAAATTCCCTCTTTTGTGGTTGTCTGATGTTTCCTTTGGTTAGATCTGAGTTGTGCCTTCCTGGCTAGAATATTGCCTTAGGGTCCATTTTCCAAAGGTCACATCTGTCATTTATTAATAATGATGTTCACTTTGTCCACCAGTCAGGATATTCTTTGGATTCTTCAATGTATATTTACTGTTGTTGTTTTTATTTGTCACAACAAATAAGTAATTTGTGGGTAGACATTATAAGATAATGGAAATAGCTGGCAACTGGGGGGTGGGGGGGAGCTCACATTGTAAAAAGACCACACAAAAAACCACACAGAAAACACTCATATACTAATTAGGGTTAAGGTTACCAATTGTCCCTGTGTGCATTTATCACACTGGGTTTCTTTTTTTTTCTGTGTGGACTATTTTCATGTGTGCTTTCTTCCCTATAATTGTATTAGGATTGGGATTTCTTTCAGCAAGTTTACACTTCCAAATTTTCTTGGAGTTTGAGACATTAGTGATGCCAGCTTGAAGACCAGCTAGGATTTAAGTAGATGGAATTAGCACAGGAGGGTGTTCCAGGAAGAAGGGACATTGAGAATGACAATGGAGACACAACAATAGCAGTGACATTATATTGTCATACTTCAGTAATGATGCCCACATGGTGAAAAGTGAAAGGCACTCATGAAAAGTTTGCTTTAGGTCATACTTAGAGGACTTTGAAGGTCAGATTTAGGATTTGGGGTCTTTAAGACGATAATAGAGCTGTTGAAGCATTTTGAGTTGTGTAATAACCAGCTTAAACTCTGTCTCTGAGAGATTAATCTAGAAGATATGTAGAGGTTGGATTGAGGAAATTTCCAGTTAAGAAGAATTGTAAAGAGGCTATTATGAGAGGTCAGGCAGGACATACCAAGGATTTGAAATAAAAAGGAAAGAACATAGATTAAAGATAGTGGCTTTCAACTTCTTTAGAAACCCAGAGGCATGGGGGAAGGGTAGTAGAAGAGGAGATGTGTGAGTGGAACTCCTAGTAGTTGCATGGGACATTCCACCTTGGGCTGTCATCTGCAAGGTTAGCAATTCGAATCCACCAGCCACTCTACAGGAGAAAGATAATGGCTTTCTGCTCCCATGAAGATTTGTAATCTTGGGAATCCTATACAGGGTAGCTATGAGTTGGAACCAAATTTGACAGCACACAACCACTGCCAACCATCCCTTTAAGTGGGTCTGGGTAACTTAGTTCATTAGAGCATGGTGCCAATAACACCAAGGTTGCAGGTTCGAACCATGTACAGACCAGTTGGTGAGTATGGAATATTTTGAGTCCTAGTAGTGCTATAGGGTAAGCACTGGGCTTCTAACTACAAGGTTGGCAGTTCAAACCCACTAACCACTCCTGGAAGCCCTATATAGGGTTTGAATTGGAATTAACTCGATGGCACACAACAAAAACAACATCCCTTTAAAAAACTGATTCTGCTGCTCCAGGAACAACAACAGCAACAAATACGTTTTTAAATACACGTAAAAAATGGTTGAAATGGAAAATATTTTGTTGTATATATATTGCTGCAATTAGAAAAAGTTTACAAGGCCAACGTTGGTTTGACGTTCTTTTCTCCTCCTTGTTCATTCATACTGCCTTTTCCCAAAGTTTAGAGCCTGGATGGCCAGGCAAATAGTGTCAGTAACTGAAAGAAGTCAAATTGTATATGCAAGGGGCTTCAAAAAGTTTGTGAACATTTCCATTATCTTTTCATTCCATTCTTCCATAAACTTTTTGAAGGCCTTTTGTTTGTATGTTTTTGTTGTTTTGTTTTGTTTTGTTAATGTCTAAAGTCAATGTCACAGAGCCATGTACTAAAACATCTTACTCATGAAACAAGCCATTCTTGGCCAGAAATCTTGGTGTGGTCATCTGAACGCCTTCCTTTTGCTTACGCTCTACAGCAGCCCCCCTGTGAAATCCTATTGGCTTTACTTTCCAGTGATAGCTCGTATCCCACCACCTTTACCACCTTCATGCTGTCAGCCCACCGTTACCTCTTTTGCTTACTCTCCAAGTCTCCACCTTTGTTCCTACTGTCAGTTCAATTGCCTTGTTCCTCAGGCATGACAGGTACTCTTCCCTCTCAGAGTCTTTGCAAGGGAAGATCCTCTGGTATCAGCATGATTAACTCTCTCATCTTTAGATTGTTGCTCAAATGTTACTTTCTCAATTGGACCTACTCTGAGCTCCTTTAAACAGCCACACACACGGTTCCCAGTGTCTCGTAATCTTCTTCTTCCCTTTGACATTTGTTACCTGTTGTTGTTGTTTTTCCAACAGCCTGTGCTCCCTTCATGTCTCTGTGACATTTTGGTAATTCTCAAAAATTTCTAACCTTTTCGTTATGCTACTCCATACTTAATGTTGTTATTGTGGTTAAGTGCCATCGAGTTGGTTCTGACTCATAATGACCCCATAGGGTTTCCAAGGAGTGGCTGGTGAGTTTCCAAGCAATGACCTTATGGTTCAAATCAACCTTGCGGTCCTGTACATTATTCTGCAGTGCCACACCTAGACTTCATTTGTCACCTAACATACTATATTTTACGAGTCCTGGTGTGGCACTGTGGGTTAATACGCCAGACTGCAAAGCTGTTTGAACTGCAAGGTTGGCAATTCAAACTCACCAGCTGTTCCTCGGAAACCCTATACAGGGTTGCTATGGGTCAGAATCAACTCAACAGCACTTTACAGCAACAAATACTACATATTATGTTGTTTGTCTCCAATCACCAGAGTTTAAGCTCCACAAGGGTAGTAGTGATTTCTGTTTGTGTTCCTTATCAATCTAACTCAAGTACCAGCATAGCGGCTGGCACACAGTAGGCCTTCACTCTGTATTGTTAAGAGAAGGAAAGAAAACTGAGGACCTAAAACCAATAAGCTTAGTTTTCAGGCTCAGTGCTGAAAAACAAATAAAAAGAAGGGATACTGCTTAAATTAACATTTCCAAACCTGTGTTCCGTGGGTACTAGTATCCAAGGCTCTGATAGTAATTGGCCTGGGTAATACTAAGTATGCTGTTGCTGTACTGGAAAATCATAGTATATATTAGTACATTAATGATTATAGGCAATCCTGCAGTAACTCTTGAATTTACTTGATCACAGAATTCTTTTGGTAGCTCACCTACTATTATGGAACACTACTATAGTGGTTACAAATCATGCCGCTAACCTCAAGGTCGGCAGTTCGAAACTACCAGCTGTTCCACGGCAGAAAGATGAGGCTTTCTGCTCCCGTAAAGATTTGCAGCCTCGGAAACCCTGTGCAGGGTCACTATGAGTCGGAACCAACTCCATGGCACTCAACAACAACAGCAATAACTGCCCCATGAAGGGAGTTCTGGCGGCGTTGTAGAAGTACTGGATTGATAATGTCAAGGTCGCCAGTACAAACCCATCACTGCTTCTTGAAAGAAAGATGAAGTTGTCTGCTCCTGTAAAGATTTACAGTCTTGGAAGCTCTGTATGGGGTTGCTATGAGTAATGGCACTGTTTCTGTGGGCTTGTTTTTTGTTTTTGTTTTTGGGGGGGTGGTGGTTATGGGGGGCTCTTTTTTTTTTGTCCCATGAAGGATTCCTGGTGGTGCAGTGGTTAAAGCACTCTGTGGTTAACCAAAAGGTTAGTGGTTTGAACCCACCAGCTGTTCCCTGGGGGCAAGGTTTCACAATTTGCTTCTATAAAGACTTACAGCCTTGGAAGAATCTGAATCCAACCGAAGGCAGTGAGCTTAGCCTTTTGGTTTCGTTGGGGGAAAACCATACAAGAGTCTTCTGTGTGGGTGCTGGAAGTGATTGGCAGCTCTCTGAAGTTACTGTTGGTTGATGAAGTGCGCTGCTTCATTTGCTACTCAGAAGGAAGCTGGAGTATAGCAGGGCCCAAACTGCTGCTCTCAGTTGCCACTCTTAATTTAAACTTGAAACCCTTTTAAAAGCCAGTTTTTGTTGTAGGTATTTGGGAATAAGATGATCATTCCTTCCCTGGATGGAGACCTCTTCCAGTGGGATCGAGACCGTGAGAGCATGGAAACGGTTCCGTTCACTGTGGAGTCACTTCTTGAATCTTCTTATAAATACGGAGATGATGTTGTCTTGGCTGGAGGGAAGTCTTTCACTACTTATGGACTCAGTGCATATAGTGGGAAGGTGAGTGGAAATGTTAATTTTATTTTGGAGCAAATCAGAATAAATAAGGGTAGAAGAAATACTTCTGTAAACTACAACATTATTCTTTGAGGTTTACTATCATTTTTCCCTGAGAGGACCTTTTTTGCTGTAAAAAGTATGGCTTATAATTTTGTGTTTCAGCTGTCTTTTTCATATTGCTTGTAAACCTCACAGTATGTCTTAATGGTACATATTTTTTCCCATTTTGACAGATGAAGAGTCCTCCAAAGGGTAATAAGAATCATGACAGTAAGAATAGTTGCTTTTAGTCTTTTATTTATCTAGCTTGATCTTATAAAAACCCAAGAAGAAAGTTTGTAATAATTTTACAAACTGAGAAAACAGAGACTTTAAAAGGTTAAGAAAGTTTCAAGGTCAGATTTGACTTTGATTGTGCTGTTAAAGTCTAAACCTAAACTTTTTCCAGCATGATCTCTTGTAATTTAATCATAAGATAATTTGCTACTAAGGTTGAGTCTTATAATTGTTTTTGTTGTTCCGTGCCGTGGAGTCAGTTCCAACTCATAGCGACTCTGTACAGGGTTTCCGAGGCTGTAAATCTTTACGGGAGCAGAAAGCCTCATCTTTCTCCCATGTAACAGCTGGTAGTTTCAAACTACTGACCTTGCAGTTCACAGCCCTATTTCGTAACCACTACGCTACCAGAGCTCCTTGAGTCTTATAATAGAAATTCATTATTGGAAGTTACTAACTAGAAATACCTTTTTTAGAATGAGTAGAAGTAATCCCCAAAACTATTGTTCTAAGACTCTGCTTTAACCAAGTACAAAATCCACTTCCGGAGGTCACCTCTCAGCCCAATAATAGATTGGCCTATAAGATAATAGGAATGTGCTCCTTTGAAGAAGCAGCTACAAGAGACCAAAAGGGCATCATTTGGTCAAAAGCAAAGGTGAGAAGGCAAGGAAGGCCAGGGAAGAGACACATAGAAATGGGCAGACAGAGTGGAAATGGGAAGAGTGCTGACCCATTGCAGGATAGCACCTAGTGTCATGGAACAAGTCACATGTAAGTTGTTGAATGGGAAGCTAATTGCTGTGTAAACTTTCACCTGACCCACAACAAAATGTTTAAAAGTAAGTGATGTCAATCATAAGACCTGTACCTGCTCATTCTGGTTGAATATTCACTGAAAATGTTTTCTTTCTGCTTCTCCCACTAACATGCATTTGTAAACAAGAGTATTGCTTAACTCTAAAATAAATACAGCCATGCCTCGTTTTATTGCACTTTGCAGATAGTGCTTTTTTTTATACAAATTGTAGGATTGTGGCAACCCTGCATCTAGCAAGTCTGTGGCACCATTTTTCCAACAGCATGTGCTTACTCCATGTCTCTGTAATTCTCACCATATTTCAAACCTTTTCTCTGTGCTGCTACATATTTAATATTGTTATTGTGGTTAAGTGCCATCAAGTCAGTTCTGACTCGTGGCGACCCAGTGTAGAGTTTCCAAGGAGCAGCTGGTGAGTTTGAACTGCTGATCTCGTGATTAGCAGTGCTTATCTTAACTTCATTGCATACTTAATAGACTACCAAAACAAAACAAAAAAACTGCCATCGAGTTACTTTCGAGTCCTAGCAACCTTGTGTAGGGTTTCCGAGGATAAATCTTTCTGGGAGCAAAAAGACTCATCCTTCTCCTGTGGAGCAATTGGTGGATTCACGCCACTGATCTTGTGATAAGCAGTCCAGTGCTTATTTTATAGCACGACAACAGTATAGTGTGGAGTCCTGTGTGGTACTGTAGGATAGTACGCCGTATACCATAAGGTCGGTTTGAACTACAAGGCCAGCAGTTCAAACTCACTAGCCTCTCCTTGGAAATCCTATACAGGGTCGCTATGAGTCAGAACTGACTTGATGGTACTTAACAACAAAAACAATATAATGTGAAAATAATTTTTATGCACTGGGAAACAAAAAACTTGTGCGACTTACTTTATTGTGATATTTGCTTTATTGCGGCAATCTAGAATAGAATCTGCAATATATCTCTCTGAAGTATGCCTGTATAAGAATTTTCTTTAAAAGGGTCCAAATACTTTCTTAACCTTTTGTGGTTGTTGGTACATGCTATCATGTCAACTCTGACTCACATATAACAGAATGAAATGCTGCCTGGTGTCATGAACATCGTGATGTGTGAACATTTACATATAAACTATAAAATATAATAGGAAAGAATGAGAAAATGCTCTTCTTACCCTTAACTTTTTAAAAACTGTGAACTCCTTAAGCTGCCTAGCCCTGTGACATGCCTTCCTATTCTGAGCAGGTCTTTTACCTTCTGGAACAATCAGATGATGACAGTTCATCTTGTACCTACCCTGCCCCAGTCATTTCTCTGAGGAGAATCGGTCCATTATTAGTGGGTCATTAAATTAGATAATAGGATTTGGGCACTAATATCCATCTGATAATTATGCCCAAAGCACTGTTTTGCTCTTGTAGACATGTTTCTACCTTCGTAACCCACCAGCATCTGCACTGTGTTGAGGAAACCAAGCAATCCTGTCTAGCCGTTTTTTTGAGCAAGCATGTCAGTCTCTGTTTCTCTTCAGTATTCTCATCTACAAAACAGCAAGATTGAATCTGATCATCTGGTTTTGGTTTGTTGTGGTATTCTAACAGGTACGCTTTTTTGTGTGTGAGGCTTTTAGTTAAGGTCATAATGAGACACTTTTTTTTTAGGTAAAAATTTGAAGGAGACACTTTGAAATACGAAAGCTGTTTCAAATGGTTTAAAACATTCTTGTACCAAGTCTATCTGCTATACAGAAACTCTGAGTTTGAGTTCTTAAAAATTCACCTGGAATTTGATTAATGACGTTATTGCTACAGTAGGGTAACTTGGTTATCAATCTCTTAGTGATTATTCTCCCAACCAAGACTAAAATTATCGAATTCTTCAAGTCATTCCCAGACATAAATGTTCACTGCTACTTTCGCGGTTCTAGATCACGCACACATTAGGAGTTAGTAAGCTAACTGCTGTTCCTTGTTCCTTGGTTACTTCTCACACATTTCCTCAGTTTTCTTTTACTTTTTAGGGAGTCTCTTTGACTATCTCTGCTCTCCTGTAACTTGTATGCTATACTGATCGTATGCCTTTGTTTTCAGGTGAGGTATATCTGTTCAGCTTTGGGTTGCCGCCGCTGGGATGGTGATGACATGGAGCAAGAAGACATCCTGCTTCTGCAGCGCACCCAGAAAACTGTCAGGGCTGTCGGACCGCGTAGTGGCAATGAGAAGTGTGTATCCAGAGACTGTTGCTATTCAGTACTACTTAAATGTATATGTAACACCAAAAGTCATCGTGCTTTTCTCTGTGAAGACTTTTCTGAATTATTTTGTTGCCTTACAAGCAGTGCTAGTTTTTCAAGAGGAATACTTTATTTTTGCCATATGATGTGTCCATGCAAATAATACACACATGCATATAACATGCATGTTTCTGTTGTTAAGTGCTGTCGAATCATTCCGACCTATAGCGACCCCAGATAGGGTTTCCGAGGAGTGGCTGGTGAACTTGAACCGCCAACATTGCAATTCAAACCGACTTTGCAGTCCAGTGCATTAACCCATAATAACAACCAGGACTCTATAACATATATGTTGTTGTTGTTAAGTGCCGTCAAGTCAGTTCCAACCCATAGCGACCCTGTATAGGGTTTCCGAGGAGCAGCTGGTGAGCTTGAACCACCAACCTTGCAGTTCAAATGCCTTTGCAGTCTGGCTCATTAACCCACAGCACCACACCAGGACTCTATAACATGTACAGTGCATAGGAAACTAGCATGAGGAGGTTGCAGTGGTTTCAAAAAAAAACAAAAACACACCGTGCAATGTGTATACTCTTTGCATAAAATAACGTTATAGATCCTAAATGAATCATGGCCTCCTGGTTAACAAATTCTGAACTAACCTTCTCACCATGTGTTTCAATTGTAACCAAAAAGAGTCCCTTACAATGACTATATGTTAGTCTAGTCTTACATTAACAATATTTTTAGTGACTACTTCGCAAATCAAAGTTCTTTGAATGCAGAAAAAGTTATTAAGACTGAATCCAGCCTTTGCCTATTTAATGCTGTAGTTCTGTCTAGTAAGTTGTTTCATAGTTTCCCTCACTATCCAAAATTTAAAATGATATTTTGAGTTTATTTTCTGAGTGTTAAAATATCAAATCCTTTTATGAATTAATGAATTCCTTATGTAATTTGTTACATTTAAATGTGAGATTTAAAAGGTAAGTCATCTCAATTAAAATGCTGGATCTAAACTATATGCTTGAATACTTAAATTTTAAACTACCTGTGTAATAAAAATGTTTTTAGATTGTTATCTTTTGAAAATGAGTTAGACTTTCAGGTTTCGTCTAATCTCATTCAATTTAATTCTGTTTTCTATCTTGAAAGCTTTTTTCAAATGTAGTTAAGAATGTTTTCTTTGTACTTTCCCTGGACTATGGATTGAGTTTTGCATCGGCTGACAACCTGGCTTTCTTTATGCTGAAGGGATTTTGTTTCCTTATATGTCTCAGTACTTACTGGTTTCATTCAACAGAATTTTGAGTTACCAGAATAGGAAGAATCTGTAATCTAAGGCCCATCCTCTTTAGGAATTCTTAGTGAGTGAGAACATTTCATATCTAAGTGATACAACACTATCCATGTTGTTGTTGTTAAGTGCCGTTGAGTCAAATCCAACTCATAGCAGCCTATATAGGATTTCCAAGGAGCAACTGGTGGGTTTGAACTGCCAGTCTCTGGTTCACAGTCCAGTGCTGATCCTACATCACCACACCAGGAGTTGAATACTGTTCATAGCAAAGTGATTTTTCTATTTACTAGTTGAAGGGAAACTTTATTACTGCTACTTTGTGGATGGTGCTTTAGGATCAACACTGGATTGTGAACCACAAGGTAGGCAGTTCAAACCCACCAGCTGCTCCTTGGAAAACTTACACTGGGTTACTCTGAGTAGAAGCTGACTCACTGGCACTTAACAATAACAACAACAACTTTATGGGAAAGGATACTGAGAATCAGGAAAGGTTGTTGTTGCTAAATGCCATTGAGTAGGGTTTCCAAGGAGATTTGAACCACAGGTATCAACATATGGGAGATTATTATACTGGATCACATTGCCTCTTTGAGGCTGTGTTTTCACATAAATCTAAAGTTGATGCATTCATCTTGCCCTATATGTTGGTTTATTGTTATTATTGTTGTCAAGTGCTGTCTAGTCGATTCTGACCCATAGTGACCCTGTACAGGGTTTCCAAGGAGCAGCTGGTGAGCTTGAACCACCAACCTTGCAGTTCAAATGGCTTTGCAGTCTGGCACATTAACCCACAGCGCCACACCAGGTTTATTGGCATACATTAATTTCTCAGCACTTGAATGAAATGTGCCCAGACTTTAATTTAGAGGTAAGACAGACTGCTTGGCACCTCATTTTAATGTGACTCTGATGTGTTTTGAGAAAAACACTCTGATTTAGAGGATTTGTTTATATTTGAGAAAGCCTTATGTTCTTCAGCTGTTGTCAGTCCACACAGAATCATTGGTCCTAAAAGGTCAGGACAAAATGCTCAAGGGCCCTCTTGTGGCTTAAATCATCAGTGCACTCCTTTCTAGAAGGTTGTGTTGAGGTGCCCTTTTTCTCCTCACAAAATTTTAGTCTATATTTCTTTATTATAGAAGAGTTCTGTATTATTTGTTTCCTTCATTTCATAGTCTTTTCTAAAATGCACCTTTGTAAATTTCAGGTGGAATTTCAGTGTTGGCCACTTTGAACTTCGGTATATTCCAGACATGGAAACTAGAGCTGGATTTATTGAAAGCACCATTAAACCCAGCAACAAAGAGCAGTCTAAAATTATTTCAGATGTGGAAGAACAAGAAGCTACCATGCTCGACACAGTCATAAAAGTTTCTGTTGCTGATTGGAAGGTCATGGCATTTAATAAGAAAGGAGGACATCTGGAATGGGAATATCAGGTACCTAAAATGCTATGTTTTTTCCTCTTCCAGTTTCCCCAGACTCATTGGGTACAAGGAAGTCACTGCCATTTTGGATTCTTGATGTGTTTTCTATGCTTTAAGCAATTTGTGATTTAAAATTATATTTTACAAATTGAGATTACATGAAAGCAGAAAGTAGCTATCGTGGAATCCACTGTAACTCATGCTCCATAGGGTTTCAGTCGCTTATTTTTCAAAGTCAACCACCAGGCCTTTCTTCTGACGTGCCTTTGGATGCATTCAAACCAGGTTAGCATCTGAGCTCTTTTGCCTCCTAATGACTCCTACATAAAATACTGCTTTAGAATCTCTTTTCTGTTTTCTTTCTGTAGTTTTGCACTCCGATTGCTTCTGCCTGGTTGGTTAAGGATGACAAAGTCATTCCAATCAGCCTTTTTGATGATACTAGTTACATATCTAACAATGAAGTTTTAGAAGATGAAGAAGACATTGTAGAAGCTGCGCGAGGAGCCACAGAGAACAGTGTTTACTTGGGTGAGTAGAGGGCTCTTATCCATTGATGGTACGTGTTGTCATCTAGATAATATACCTACATTGTTCCTTCCTACAGGAGCTCTGGTAGTGTAGTGGTTACGAATTGAGCTGCTAACCTCAAGGTTGACAGTTCGAAACTGCTAGCTATTCCACAGGAGAAAGATGAGGAGTTCTGCTCCTGTAAAGATTTGCAGCCTTGGAAACCCTATGCAGGGTCAGTATGAGTTGGAACTGACTCCATGGTGCAACAACAGCAACAGATTGTTTATGGCAGTTTTAAATCCCGACTATATTCTCCGGTGTAGATTGCTCTTAAGATTTCTATGTTAATTACCTTACCGGCTATTTTATCCATTTGTTCAATTCTGAAACTTTTAAGTACTATGTTGTTGTTGTTTAAGTGCTCTGGAGTCAGTTCTGACCCATAGCAACCCTGTATTGGGGTTCTGAGGTTTTAAATCTTTTTTTTTTTTTTTTTAATCTTTAAGTACTGTGTTGTTTTGTTAAGTGCCGTTGTGTCAGTTCTGACTCATAGTGACCCTCTATAGGGTCTCAAGGAGTGGCTGGTGAGTTTGAACTGCCAACCTTATGATTCAAACCGACCTTGTGGTTCAGTGCTGTATCCCACAGCGCCACACCAGGATTCCTTTCATATTGTTTTTCTCACAGACCTGTATTAGAAACACTTGGAATGTTCTCACTGCATACCATGATTATAAGCTGCTCATATATTTTCAGAGTACAAGTTGCTACGCTTGGGTTTGCATTTGCATCTGTATCAGTTTACTTCCCTTAGAAGTTCGGAGTCCTGGTGTGGTGCTGTGGGATAAAGCACTGTATTGCAAGGTCAGTTGGAACCACAAACTTGGCAGTTCAAACTCACCAGCCACTCCTTGGAAACCCTACACAGGGTCACTATGAGTTGGAACCGACTTGATGGCAATTAACAACAAGAAGAAAGTTCATGGGAAAAACTCCATTATCTTTTCATTCTCTTTCTGCAAACGTTTTGAAGTCCCCTTTTATTAGCCTCATAAGGGTACATTGGCTGTTGAAAATTTCTTTAGGCAGATTTTTCCTGTAATGATAGAAAATGTGCTGTTAACTCTGTGAGAAATATTATAGGGATCTTTTCCCCCTTATATATTATCCCCCTTATATATTAGCCCAAGACTCAAATCTGAGTGTTGCAGCCAAAATTCTTCACTATAAAGATTTGTGTAGCACATGAATGACTTATGGGAATTAATCTAATTTTGTTCAATCAAAACGAAACTGTTTTGAAAACAGACAAGATCATTGGTGCCTGACCAAGGATTCAAAACATAATTGGTAATGTTTTGATCAATTTAGGAATGTACCGAGGCCAGCTGTATCTGCAGTCATCTGTCAGAATTTCAGAAAAGTTTCCTACCGGTCCTAAGGCCTTGGAATCTGTCAATAATGAAAATGCAATTGTTCCTTTGCCAACAATCAAATGGAAGCCCTTAATTCGTAAGTGGTTTTTCAAGTTTTACAAATGTTATTGAAGTACTCAGAGGTCTAATCATGATTATCTTTGTCTAGTTTTGAATATTATAGAAATTAGAACTATTATATTTTACTGATAAGCAAGAAAGATATTTCAGTTGTTACTCATAAATTTTAATTATCATTCAAGGTATTATTTCTGTGAAGCAGCATTTGCTTCTATAGATATTAATATTAATAAATATTTCTTTATACAACTTAGAAAAACTCTTAACTGTTTGCTGACCACCCCAAAGTACCATTTAATTCTTAATATTTTTACTAAGAATATGAAAGTGAAACTTATCTAGCATTGTTTCACAGTTAAATTAATTCAAATATTGGTCTACCTACTTCCTAACAGCTTTCTTTCTGTATCTTGTGTATTAATATATATATATATATATGTATGTATTGTGGGTGTGTGTGTGTGCATGAGTCACACCATATTTTAATTACTAGACCTTGTGCTTTGAAAGACCAAGATCCTTGGGCCATTTGTTTGGCTTACATGTTCAGACTGAACCGTAGTTGAATAGCTATTAATGAATGAGGCTCATGCATTTTCTTTTCTTTTTTTTAGTATTCTATTGTGGTGTTTTCTTTTGAGAAAATTTATATGGCAAATTAGGTTATCACCCTATATAGGGACACTGTGGGTAGGAACCAACTTGACGGCACTTAACAACAACATACATACAGTGACGTTGTTTAACTTTGACACTACATTAGCATTCTCATTATTAGCATTCTGGTTATTCTGTTTCTATTTGTCTTACCATCTCTTGTTTGACCTAGAGTAAATGTTGACCATTTGCTCTCATTTAGACAATTGTTGGGAGACACACAGTACCCATGAGTGATATTATTGACTTTATGAGCCACTCTGTCTTTTTGGCCGAGAGTGATTTCTGGGAGTGGTTTGAGGTCCCAGTTTAAAGGGTATTCCAAAGCGATAGTCTCGGGAATTCCTCTAGTCTCTATCAATCCAGTTAGTCTGGCCTTTATTAAGAATTTGAGTTCTTAATACATTTTTGTTCCATTGTGTTTGGGACCATCTATTGTGTTCAATGTCACCACAGATGGTAGTGATAGCTGGGCACCATCTAGTTCCTCGGGTCTCAAGTTACCTAATAGACTCCTACAGTCTATTAGTCTTTTGTTTTGCTTTGTTGTTTTTAAGGTTTTTATTGTGGATTGAGTGAAAGTTTACAGGGCACATCATCAGTTTCACATTCAACCATTCATATAACTTGTTTCATTACATTGATTA